ATTTTATCTACACCTTACACTTGGTCCCGTGGCGCCTATCAGTGTTTATGCAAGCGTGGCTATTACTCGGTACGTCATCCGGATGGTTTTAATGGAACTATAATGGAAATAGCCTGGAAGGAACATCAGGATAACATTAGCAATTATTATGCAGATGTGTTTACGTGCTTAAAATGCGCTCCAGGTTGTGATGCCTGTAGCGGTCCGGAACCCTGTTTAGCCGATTACAACTGGCCGTTTAGGTAAGTTTTCAAAAATAATTCTATAATTATTTTACACACTGATGTGTTTACAATTCTAGAATATCGCTGCTAACCATATCGATAGGCTGTGCGATTGGTACGATTTTATTAGCCGGCTATCTTTTTCATCATCGCAAAGTTAAAGTATTCAAAGTAGCCAGTCCTATATTTTTATTAATCACTTTGATTGGTTGCGCGATCATGTACTTGGAGGTAAGCAAAAATTTTTCCTTCTAGTTATACTACGTTGTCTAGTGTTAGGTACTAATTTGTTTTCAAATGAGAAAAAGTTTTCGATAAAATATGATCACTACTTTTATGGGCATATCGCCAGACTATCGGTACGCAATATTATAATCAAAACCACTGGAATCTGCATCGCGCCACGAAACTTTTGATAACATAAGTTACAAACCCTTATATCAATTCTGTCCCGTATGCATGGCACGGGAGAGAAACTTGGGACATTTTCAGCCAACTTTTGTATTCAATTCTGAACGGAAGAAAAGTTTTTGAGGACACGGTCGTCTTTTTGTTAGGCAGACAACCACGCTAATGCTAATTAATGCTAACTAACACATACACATATTTTTTACGATATATTTTTTACACCGATCTCATGTATGACTGGTGAAGTCTTTGGAACCTGTATTTACATTTTGGAAACCTGTTCTCACCAGTATTTTCTATATACTTTATGGTATCTGTGAAGAGTATAAGATGCGTTCAAAAAGAGGACGATTTTTCAAATTTCGTGGACTAAGTCCATTCGATTTTCGTTTTTTTTTATGTCCCCAAAATATATTGACGTTGTCAGCCGTTTTGCATTTTTAGTTTGTTTTTGAAATACAGAAAAGTTGCACGTGTTTTGGTTGGCTTGGCGACTTTTTCCTATTGAAAAAAATGGAACTGTGTCTGTATTATATTTTGTCGCATCGTTATCGCTGAAAATGTCGGCATATTGGTTGGCCCTTGCTACGCAATTTTTTCGAATATTTTGAACATGAAACGTATAGCAGTTATTGTCAATTTTTTTGATCAAAAACAACATCGCAACCAAGCATTAGCCAAAGTGGCATAGATCTACGAAAGCACGCAGTTTTGGCACGATGAAGAAGGTAAAATCCGCATTGCTGGAAAATGTCAAGGTCAAACCAAGAAGCTCATGTAAGAAGTACTTCGGTGATTGGAAAAGCCCTGGCACAAGTGTGTTAAATTTAAGGGGGTTACCTTGAAGGGGACAAAACATTGATAAATGTATGCCTCGTACATCTGCTCATCTACTCATATTTGAAAAATGACTTGTCTTTAAATATGCTTTCCATGTTCAACATACTTTTATTAATAATAATTTCTCGTCATTGCACTAAATGGCTTAGTAGTGTACATTTGTAAGTTAACTGAAATATATGAACATTGTAGAGGTATTTTGCAAAACTTAAGCGGGATTTGTACTTTTGTAGAAAATTTCTTGTCAATCAATCTCTAAGCAAGTTTTTTAATTATCTTGTTACGCAGAAGGTTATTTATATCTAAACGAAACCAATTAATTGAATTCTTGTAAATTCAGATTTTCTCGTTTCGTAAACTGAAATAACTTTAATAAGAAAATCTCTGAAAAGAAACACATTTTATTACGATTTTTCGTTTGAAATTAAAAAATGTCAGCTTAAGCCAGTGCAATATCCCAGCATCTCGGTGCTTATTAATTTCGATATATTTGACTCATATGAACCTTCGCGATTATCAGAACATTGTCTATAATGTCAAGTTAATCGCTTAATATTGCTTCTGTTATTCATTTTCTTTTTGCACATTCACTGCGCTGCTTCTTTTGTTGTCAACATGAAAATATTTCTTTCTTTCATTATTAGAGGAACAATGCAACGAAATTTTATTAGCTCTGAACAGAGGAATGATGGTTTGCGATTTTAAACTCATGTAGAAGAGTGTTATAATGAGTTTTTGTCTATATATATATAACACCCACAACAACTTAGAAATTTTTTTAATATAATGATCTAATCTTGTCTGCCTGTCTGTCCATCTAATGCCTTAGACAAGCTGCACAGATACGTTGCGATCGCCATAGCGATGCCAGACGAAGGTATTGTTTTGTTTATAACTCTTGGCTTGGCAGTCTATCAAACTAGCTTAAATGATTGGGGGGCGTAAGATTTCTTGCCCATGGCCGTTTGCAGCAAATGGGTTTTTACATATTAACTTTAGGGATAATACCATCGCAGTGGTGTATTATATTATACTCTGCGGGTAGTGTGCCTCAAGTGTAGAATTTCACTCTGGGACACAAAAATCAACTTCTCTAAGGCTTAAAATCCCTGTTCTTCTTTACTAAACAATCGCAAATTCCGGCGCAAGATAAACAAGCGCTACGCAATATTGATTAGACTCTTGAATACTCTTTTTTCATTTTGCTTCACACGCTTATTAGATGGTAGCAATTTTTCCGTTTTTGGATACAAGCTGGTGTATAGTGACCAAGTGGACACGTCACATGGGCTTTTGCATAACCTACACATCATTGCTAATGAAAACTTGGCGGTAAATTTTCAAAAAATTTGAATTTAATGCAAAATTTAACTGAAAGTTTTTTAGTGTATCTTTAACGTATCGGGTTAAGTCAGCTCATAAAGTTAAGCTTACTGATCAGCAGTTGCTGCAATGGATGGTGCCCATATTATTGGTAATGCTTATTTACTTGGGTACATGGACAATATCCGACACTCCCTTTGCCGAATTTGTAAGTTTTGATAAAATTTTATCTCATTATTTTATTGTCATCAATCATTAATGTCTTACTCTTCTCCCATTAGATACACGATCAGAATGGTTTAAAATTTAGACAATGTTCTTACAATTGGTGGGATCATAGTTTGGCTATCGGTGAGGTATTTTTTCTGGCCTGGGGCATACGAGTCTGTTATAATGTCCGCAATGCTGAATCGTTATACAATGAAGCCCGCTTAATATCTTATGCAATATATAATATAGCGATTGTTAATATAACAATGGCAATTATACAGTGAGTGAATTTTTTATATCTCTGCTGCGAATATCTTGCGAAAATTAAATATTCTTCACTTCTCAGTCTCTTCATATTTCCGGAAGCTGGACCTGATATTAAATATACTTTAGGTTTTGTACGAACCCAATTGTCGACAACCACTACCATAGCTTTAGTATTTGGGCCAAAAATTTCGCGAGTCTTTAAAGGTCAAGGAGACAAGTGGGATCAAAAGGCTAAGGTGCGCAGTATAACGGCCTCATTTTCATTAAATGGCGTTGGCCTAGTGCCCGAAGAATCTCCCGATCTCTATCAAGAAAATGAAGAGTTAAAGGTGAGCTAATGGATATTTGTCACAGAGAAACGCAAAACGGCGATACTTATACGCAAAAAAAAATCTTTCAGGAGCAAATTCAAAAATTGGCTCATCAAATTGAATTCATGAAGACTGTGCATATGCAGATCAATAATAGACATTTAAAACCTAAGCCGGGCGGTTATTTTACAATAACCTCAACTTCTTTCCAAGCACCGTTTAGTAAAAGTAACATGTCTTCAACGCAAACACAAACTTCCAAAACTGAGGAAACCCTTAGCGGTTCCGCCTCTAAAGGGTAGGCGATCAATTTATTTATGCTTTTTTCATCATCTCAATGAATAACAATTCTTTTAAAGTTTTCCAAC